GTTGTACATGTATCTTATTCAAGAATTATCACTCATATCGAGACTTCACTAAATACCGGTCAAGGGCTTCATATTTTGACCTTTACTCGGCACTCAGGGCCATTGAACAGTGAGGGATCTTTATCGTCCGCGACACGGGGCCTTGGTTTTCATCCGAAAGACCCGCAACTATCACTTCAAAGTGTCGAGCGCTTAGCGAAGGAACAGTTGCTACCTATTTTTATCGACTTAATTAGGTCAGTCGCAGTCGGGGTTTGAACCCACGACCTTTCGATCACGGAGCGAGCGCTCTAGATACTGAGCTAGTACTTTAAGGAATAAATGTTAAAATAAATCCAGATCGATATTAAAGATTCCCTATTTCAGCAAAAAGATTCTTATCTGTCGAAAAGTGGAAAGACATAAATTAGATGGACAATATCAAATAAATTTTTTTAAGATAAACATTTTCTACCAATACAAAGAAAAAAGAATATTAAAATATGTCGATAAAACCGAAAATCAAAATAACCACAAAGTAGACCAATCTATTGAAGGATATGAATAGAAAATCGACGATACACATTGATACAGGAAAAATGCAATATCAATGAAATGTATGGAGATAACGAACAATATTCAAGCTCAAAAGTCCATTAAACAATACAAAATAGGAGCAGAGCAAACACGAACCTCCAAAACATCAGAGGTCGGATTAGGTGTCTTAGAGGAGTGAGCATCCCCAGCCGACCGGTCACTCCCCGCCGTGTGCTCCTTGTCATGATCGGGAAATAACAGAAAAATCCGTCGACAATTCAGTGTGTAAATAATGGCCTAACAATTAGTATGAAAAAAGTCAGATTTGACTCAATGATAAATTTTATTTGCTGACAAGGTCATTGTATCGACCATAGAACTTATGAAATGATGATTTTAAACGAGACTGCTGATATTCTTGTTTTTCATCAACTTGTTTATCAATAATTTACCTCGTTTTAGAAATTGTACATACGTAGAGCATGCTCTTGCGTGTCGAATCAACTGAGAAATATAAACCCTGTATGCAGGTAATGAAGGTATAAGGGAAGTTCACGATTGAAAAACTTAAAATCATCACGTTTATCATAAAGCTTGGTTGTTAGATTTCCATTAACGTCTTTTTCAAGTTAAATATCCAAATTTGAAACAGATGTGTCAGACTCTGTAATATCTTTTATCTCAAGCTCACCGGGAAATATCGTATCGACATAAGAATGGAAATAACCATGATTGTTAATTGACAATACGTCGTCGATTTATCTAAATGTCGAGTTGAAGGCCACAGCAAGTGTTTTCTTCTTTTCATGAATAAGATTTTGGACAAATTCTGCTTCATATGAATACAAGAAAAGGTCTGCTAATAGCGGGGCGCAATTGGTACCCATGGATATTCCAATAGATAGTTGGAAGACCTGGTCTCCAAAAACAACAAAGATATTGTAAATCAGAAACTTAAGCATCTTTTTAATGCCAACTTCAGAGTACTTGTGTGTACAATCAGAATGTTTTTAACAAAATAATTTTGCAAATGACCAATGACAAGAAAAGAAAACTTACGAGTTCCATTTTTATTGAAAAAGCAGTTGTCAATGACATCAAAAAGCCTGGACTTTAATTTATCGTGGGGAATGGTTGTGTATAAAGTTGAAAAGTCGTAAGTTTTTAAGCTGTTGATTTTGGTAAAATCTTGTGATTTCAAATTTTCCAAAAGTTCCTTGGAATTTTTAAGTATCCACATCTGATTTACACCACTTCTCGAATATATTTTTGCACAGTACTCTTGAAGTTTCTCCTTCACTACCGTTAATATTTTAGTAATGAGTAAAGAAAGAGGATTGGTAGAACATTTACTGGAACCCGCTATGTATTTTTTATTTATAAGGATTTTTATGAAGTTTCGGAATCCAATATACAAGGGTTGTCCCAGAAAAACGCGAACTTTTAGAATATTTCAGAAACTGTTCTACCAAAACTAATAATTTTTGCACGTTGTTGGGAAATGATATTTTCGGTATTTTGAAAAAATAGTTTAGGCTTGTGATGTCATAAGTATATAAAAACAGGATTTAAAGGGTGTTAAATATCGCGGTCGGCGCACGGCAATTTTTTGACTTTTAAAAGTAGCATTGACAATGAAATTTTCTTTATAACCAGGCTATACGGAAATATAATGTCACAAAAATTACCTCCATTAATACTCTTTGATCTGGTGTGCTCGTGTATAAAAATTCATTTATTTGACATCATTAATGACAAATATATGACGTTATATGCCAAAACACTTTTAATTAGATATTGTCAAAATGGTGACGTTTGGCGATAATGTGGAGCATGAAATTATTAAGCAGTACTATTTGAGCGGGATATGACTCCTATCCTTCCGATAAAAGAGATGTTAACGATGGAAAAAAACAGAAACATAAATTTCGGACTCAGGTTTATCCCCAGTTAAAGAGGTTTGAGGATGGCTTGACTGGTTATCCGATAGAAGAGGCGTTTTGTAGACCAACAAAAATGAAGACAAACTGGAAGTCAGGAGCTGGACGTTATAGACCTAAGTTAAGGCCGCCGTTAAACAATGCAAACTGTTAGGTTTGTTATCGGGATTGAGAAATTGTCTATTAAAAGAATTAATTCCTTAATCTTCTGGTAACACTAGTATTTGAGATGTATAACTTGGTATATAAAAGAAAATTAAATACAGTGCCGAATTTATGCTTAAAAGAATTATATCATAGGCACATTTTCAGAACCAATTCACAAACGCCACGAGCTCCGTTTTGACATCGTAAGCGTTGCGCCGACAACTGATTTGTAAGATTCGTTTACCTGAGAGAAAAATGTTATTTATGGAGATATTTCATTGAATTTTTAATGCGTTATTCAAAAAATGTTGATTATGAAGTATGCCAATTTTTAACTTTATAGTTTTAGTCAAACAAAAGATATTAAAAATGTTCGCGTATTTTTAGGACCACCCTCGTAGATATGGTAATTCAAATTCATTTTGGTTGTTTGGAATATTAAAAATATTTAAAACTGACATATGACTTTGAAGAATTTCTTCCATAGAAAGGGAACTATGAGTATGAGTTGGATTACCACTTGTAGAAATAAATCCAAGTTCCTCTAAAATGCATTTAATATAATGAGCCTTACAAACAAATTAAAGACAATGTTGTTACCTGCTTTGTCAGCAGGGACCAGTACGTACTGATCATGTAATCTACATGTATATAATTCATTTTTCACTTCTGGATTATTGAATACAGGATAGATGGTTCTCATATTATCCCTCAATCTTTTAATGCGCGATTTTAACATATATCTGGTACATTTAATCCATTCTAACAAAATGTCAAGGTCTTCTTTTTCATGTCTGGCCCATCGCCTGGCGTAATCCTCTACAGTCCATAATGTTTATGTAATTCCGATGCCAGTTGAAGGATCGGGGTTCCCTATTTTAAGAACCTTTTAAAATTAGTGATCTAAGGTCCTCATTATTAACTATACTTACGTCACAAGTAATAACGTGTCCAGCAGGACTATAGTTATAGGGTGAAGAAGAACATGAACACGATGGAGGATTATGTTTCAGATATTCGATATCCAGGCCCTGTAAAGTTTTTTTGTAATAAAAAAGTTTGGAAGCAATAGTAGGTGTATATTTGTAGGAAATACACTGTGTAGTCTTTAACTTAAAATATGGTGGAATACAAGACTTGACCCTTTTGTGATTAAAAATATTACTAACCGCGTCAATTCCTTATCAAGAGAGATGTCTTTAAAATGTCTATCAGATATTACGTCCCATTCGAGAATTTTTCATTTATATCTAGCCGCTGACCCAAAGACATTCCGATCTAGAGCAAGCGCTCTACTGACTGAGCTATCGTGGCGGTTAAAAAAAGTTTTGATCCTTTGAAGAAGTCAGCTCTCTTAAGATCTCAGAGACCGAAACGTTTGCAGTAGGCTAGGGCGCAGAAACATTTTACTAGGAAAGCGTAAAAAAAGGAACTGTTATTTATTGAAATATTGTTCCGGTCTTATACATGTATCAACAGGAACGTCATGGAATTTAGAGTAAAGAATGAAGAAAAAAATCAGCTAAGATGAATTTGAGAATTCAAAAGCAGACCGACGCAGAAACAAGATGCGTGGATACAAATACAGGAGCGGTGGTACTCTCATGTACAAAGTATACCAAAAGAATTTCTTTTCGGTTTTGGAATAAAGCCAAACATGGACCTACAAACTATCGGATGAATAATATTTTACAATAAAAAATTTAATTAGAGTTTTCAAAATATAAAAATCATATTTGATTAACTAATATATGTTATTTTAACTTCAAAAAATGTGCCCTTTATTATGACAAAAATTAATCTGCTCTAAAGGACAGATGATACAAACTTTTATCAAAAATTTTAAAGTAACAACTTAAGTCATGTTTATATAAGTAAAATGAATAAGTTTAACCTCAAAGATTTCAATTTTTCATTCAAATTTTCACACAAATGGGATTTAACATGACAAAAAATTGTATAGATAAATAAGGATGGTTGCAGAAAGGTAGACTTTTGAACATCATAGAAAGTTTACAATCTCTTGATATTTTAGAAAATTATTATTTGCATCATTTACAACTAAAAAATTCCGGATATATATACCAATCCAGGGATCCATTTTTTCTTTTTGTATCATCTGTCCTTAATTTTGAGAACTGTACATTATAAACTTAAATAATGAAATTAATAAAAGACGACATAACACAAGGCTGCTCTACATGTTTTTTGTAAAAAAAAAAAAAAAGAAAAAAAAGAAAAAAAAGAAAGAAAGAAAGAAAAACATATGTAACAAACTAACAAAACTAGAAGGGAAATATTTACACAAATTATTGAATTGTTGATGAAATATGATTAATTTCTTATTGTACTTTTCTTGTAATTGCTGTTCTTAACCTGTTTTACATGTACACCTAGGACAACTAGTCGATTCACGAACAACAACAGCCAGGCAAAGCTCCACGCTTAACAATTATGATGCAGACAGGACAATAGATGGATATCCGTCGCGTCTGTCAATGAATAGTAGATCATGTTCACATACAGGGGAAGGACAATCAGAGGCATGGCTACGAATAGACCTCCGAAAGGTTTACAATATAAAATCCGTCAAATTTTGGTATCGTACTGATAGTAAGTATTGACTTTGGATTGAGTTTCTATATCTTACATCTAAAAGATTTTAGCGCTCGATGTATGGAGTTTTTCAATTACATTCGCTACCCTTTCATACTATGAACTTACCTTTCTGACTACTGTAAAGGTAACGTTCTTATTTTAACGATTATCAAATTTTAGCGCCTTTTGCGCTACTTTTAGTCCGCTGATATATGTAAATGCTAATAAATGATTCAAAGTATTTAATGTCGTTGTTGAAACTCTAGTGCCCTAATCTATGATGGCGCTTATCACTTGAAGAGGACGATTGTGCTTAATTCTGATAGCGCAAATTTAAGATCGTTCACATCGCTTCTTTCTGGTCATGCCTGAGTCTTTTTGTCTTTCGCCTCATTTCAAAGAAAAGCTTTCTACTTATTATCAGATTCTGTATAAGATTTTAGAAATACGAAGAAACGTACTAACTGCCATGGTTTTGGATGTTGCGAATTCGAAAAATCTTCAATTGAATATTAATTCGCTTCAAAACTGTTTACTGGGAAATTTCCGACGCAAATTGCTGATTTTAACACAGGGGAAATTTAAGGATATTTGATCCTAAACCAGAGACACTATCTCTTAAAATTATTATTTAATTGAATAATCTCGGAATTAAGCTCGGAAATAAATCAATCTTTTCGTGCAACAATTTTCATTATGTTTGGTTGGTTAAAGTCCTTTCGAGAGAATTTTTCACTCGTACTCGGAACTTACGGCCTTTGAGCAGTAAGGGACCTTTTTTATCGGCCAGCTCCTTTAGACCTCAGTTTACACGGTCTCATCAGAAAGACCGATCTCCCTTTCACACAGTGGATTTGAACCTGCGACATAAAGATTATCTCCATACTTCGCGACTCTACACAACGCCTAACCACTGCGCCATTCTGGCTTATGCATTTGAATATGATTCAAGGTTCTTTGAAGTCTGAGAAATGGTTTTGTAAAAAAGTATACACATCAGTAACCTATGAGAAATGTCATTCTTAATTACATTATTGCGTTGTTTTTGAGGACAGATTTATTTTTAAATTTTGTTCTTATTTATTCCCAAAAAAAATGAAGGAAAAAAAAGAGCGTGAAAGAAAATAACCAATTTCATAAATAGTGTGAGCAATTTGAATTGCAAACAAAGTAAAAACATGGATGTTTGGAAACACCAGAGTTTAGACCAGGTGCCTTAGATAAGTAAGCCTTCCGATCGACAGTCAAACCCTCTCTCAGCGCTTTATATAGAACTGGTTAATTGAGTGATCCAAAATAAAAATCAGTATAGAAAAAAAATCGTTATGAAACATGTCCGTCAAAATACGACTCAACAAAAGTTCGTATTTGCAAACAAGGTCATTATAACAGCCTTAGGATTTGTTTGTTTGGTTGTTTAATATCCTTTTGAGAACTTTTCATTCATACATGTATTGAGACGCCAACATTTGCCGATGGGGGGCTGCAAATTTAGACCTGTATTCGGCACTTACGACATTTGAGCAGTGAGGGATCTTTTTCGTGAAATTAAAGCACCTACTGAAACTCAGGACCTCAATTTATAAGGTTTCATCCAATAGACAGGTTTCCATGTTGCACAGTGTATTTGAAACCAAGATTAATTCTTACTCCGCGACTCTAGAAGAAACGCTCTTAGCACTGCGCCACGCGGGGGACGACCTTAGGATTTGTAAAATGCTGACTGCAATTCCGATGGGAGTATTCCAACATACTCTGAATACGATCAATTTTTAAACCGAGGCAAGCTACTAATGAATGTTTTGATGTTACAAGGATTTCAACCCATGAACAGTCAGATTTTTGCAAATTCTACGGTAGTTATAATGACCTTGTTTGTAAATACAATCTATCGTTGGGTCAGATTTTGTTTAACATCTTTCATAGCATTTATTAGGTCACTGCTTTTATACTATGAACAATTTCTAAAACGAGGCAAGCTATTGACAAACAAGTTGATGAAACATTGATATCAACAGTCTCGTTTGAAGTCATCATTTCGCAAGTTTTACGGTCGATACAATGACCATGTCAGCACATACAACCTATACTGAGTCAGATGCTGACTGACGTTTTTCATACTAATTGTTAGGCCGTTTTTTCCCCGACCATGACAAGAAGCACACGACGGGAGTGACTGGTCGGCAGGGGATGCTCACTCCTCCATGGCACCTGACTCCCACCTCTAAATTTTGAGGTCCGTGTTTGCTTTGCTCCAAATTTGTATCGTTTCATTGGACTTTCGAGATTGAATATTGTTCGTTATCTTTATATTACATACTAAATTTGGCTACGGAGAACACCATTCGCCTGATTAATACATAGGGCTCATGGCTGGTGTAACAGGTCCACAGGGGATGCTTACTCGTGATAGGCATCTGATCCCACCTCTCGTGTTTCAAAGGTTCGTGTTTTTGCCCTTTTTACGATTTTTTTTGTTTACTGGATTTTTGGGATATATCGATTGATCACCGCTATTTTCGACTTTTATATAGCATCAATCTAATGCTTAGTAACCCGTCTCGAGTTTGGATTGATCGAACTCAGAAAGTTTTTGTCAACCTAAAAAATAAGGAGATTCAAACACCATAGTGGAATATTACGACATAAACAGGGGAAATTAATGACTGAAAATCTTAAGCTCATTTTGTCGTCAAAAAGTGTGTTGTTGGTTATAAAAGTCAGATTCTGTTTTCTGTGATACATTATCTAAATATAAAACAGGCCAAGTCTCCAAAGAATACATAACTATATAGATATAGATATATACATTGTACACGTCCATCATCTTTTCAAAATAAATTGCTTGGTTTCAGAATGAGAATGATTTTAACGAGTTTTGAAATGACCACTCACGGGATATGAGATTCCATTTTAATCGAAGAAGAAAAGTCTTGTTTAAATATTAATTTCTCTCGTGGCCTCACCTAAAACTTTCCCTCGGGACCATGATTAGAACAGACTTTAATCTTCATTACCTTAGGATGCTTAAATAATATTATGGCTAATCATTTCACATTTAAAATCTGTTAAGAATTTTGAATTTTCTTTATCAAAGGAACTAAGTACCAAGTTTAATTGAGATTGTTTCAGTATTCATAAACATATCTCGAAAATTGGGAAAGTCTACGACTGATGTAAGTACAACAGAGGGGTGGTCAGACTAACGCCGAACGTTGGGCGGTCGGAAAAGCTCACTTTGGCGTAAAGCTCAGGTGTTCTTAAACGAAAATCATTAATTTAGATAAAAATAAACGTATAAATAAAAAACTAATAAAATGAATAGTTTTTGGAAAAAAAAATGGTTACAAAGCTTCGTGTGATACGTTTATTTTAAAACTAGGTTTATGTAACCAAGCGGAGATGGAAAACGCAGTTTCAGTTTATAAGTTTATTAGGAAAAGAAAAAGCAATGGCAGATCTACAAATACAAAAACATATAAACAATATCATAATACACACAGACTCTGAGACAAAAATACTTTTCCTATTCACTTCAAAAATAAGAAAATTTAAGTGTACTAAGCCCAAAACGTCATTTTCATAGTTTAAAATAGCCTTCTTCCAAAAATATGAAAAATACTTGAGCTTATAACTTGGATTTAATAAACAAAATACAAAAATTTAATAGATTAAGAAAATTACCTTTCAAGTGGTGACAACGGGCAGCTGGTAATAGGTAAATTAAATTTCCCGCACTGACAGGGATGGGCCCATGCCTCAGTATATATAGCAGAAAAACCGGTTAAACAAGGGGGTACAAATTTACTGGCCAATGAGATTTTGTGAGTAGAATTCATGAATGGAGACTACTACCAAATATGGCATAAAGTAAATTATGGCTCAGTAAGTTATTCAATAAAGATAAAAAATTATTTTAAATAAATATGACTCTGCCACATACTCCCCAGCTTTAAATTTAGCGTCTCGATAAATGAAAAATATATATTCCATCAAAATACATTTTTCAATAATAGCCACATACTCCCCAGCTTATGGCATAAAGTAAATTATGGCTCAGTAAGTTTTTCAATAAAGATAAAAAATTATTTTAAATAAATATGACTCTGCCACATTTATACCGGCATACACATAGATATTTTAAAGGTGTTTGTCGTCAGCTTTGTCATAAGCTCTAAATAATGTTTACTGGTAAATGTATCTATATTTACAAGTCACTTCTTTTAACAACTACTTTCTTTGTCCCATATAGCTAAACAGTTTAGGTTTAAGAGTAGTGCACAATTTTTGCCTTTACATTAGATTTTTAATAATACAAATATATTCACTGTAAGAATTTTTTTCCGAACAAAATATTCTTTAAAGCAATTTTTCTAGACTATAACAATTCAAAAATCAATACATTATAAAATTTTAATGAAATTTATTGGGGATTTCTAACAAATCTTATCTCTGATGTCAGTTTTTATCAAATATTTATTAATGATATCCTATAATATATTAAGCTTTTTTCGAATATTAATTATTGTGCAACTGTATTATGGAAAATAGATAAGAATGATAAATTACAGCCACTCATTAAATATAGATATTTGTGGTGAGTCTTTTATGGACGAAAGTAGAACAAATAGCAAAGGAATACCGTGATAATTTCATTTCATGTATGTTTTGGTATTCAGAATGATTTAAATGTTATGTATAGCAGCTTAACTCCGGGACATAATAAGATGTATTTATTGATTCTTTATTCATCGATTTATTTTTCTTTGAACAAACAATTTGAATAAACATTTTAGTTCAATGTATTTATACATTATTATTATTTCAATAAAATGTAGCAGTAAAAAGAAACCAATAAAACGCTCAAGATTCAACTTTAAAAATAATTGAATCATTGAATCTAATTTCATGTACATTTTTTTTTCCAGAAATTATAAAAATATATTCATCCATGTACACGCATTTGCTATTTTAATATATTTTTTTTGATTTTATCTCTATTTTTTTGTTTAATTTAACTTTTACTCATCTAATAGGATCAAATTTTCTCGAAAATACGGAGAGATTACACGGCTATTCACTACGGTATTCTACAGACAAATGGAATATATGCTACCAAGACAGAACTCCTGTAAATCAGGCGATTCCCATGCCATCAACAGTGGAATGTCCTCATAAGACTCGATATTTACTGTTTTATACTGTTACGCCAGCGGTCAATGACAAAGAACAGGTCTTCTTAGAAATATGTGAAATTGAAGTCTATGGTAAACAAAACATTCAAAAATTCAACACTGTAAACATTAATTTACAAACACAAACATATAAATTTAAGAATCTGAGTCTAAGAGGTTTATATCTGCATCTGAATATACATTTAATCAGCTATAACGTGTCAGTTTGAATATACGAATACACAAATGGCTTCACTTACTTACACACTCACGTACAATATCTCTTCAACTGTGTTTTGAGGAGACAATAAGAATAATTCCTTTTAAATATATATTTTAAGAAATCAATCTATTTTGACCAAATGAGGGCTTGGGAAGATCTCATTTGTGCAAATGTTTTTTTCCCTAGAACTTTCAGTGTGTATATATATATATATATATATATATATATATATATATATATATATATATATATATATATATATATATATATATATATATATATATATTGTGGACATGTACTTTCAACAATGTTTCATAAGTTGTTAATATTCAATATTCAATAGATATTGCTTCACTTACTAAGTATTTCTTGATAAAAACCTATGCATCCCAAAGGGAGCTTCATTGTTAATATTTTTAATTAATCCCACATATTTATATACCTGAGATGTTTTCAGGATGTGAGATTAACCAGTATGGTGAGAACTGCACGGACTGTGTAGACCGCTGTGTGAGTTGTCATATTATATATGGATGTGTACAATGTCAGCCACGCTTTACAGGGAAATACTGTGAAGACTGTGAACCAGGCTTTTTTGGACAAAGCTGTGGTAAAGAATTTTTATCAATATCTACTTGTTGCAGCAAAGATTCCTAGCAATTTTTTTTATTAAATTTATACTTTTACTATACTTAATTAATGCTTAATTTATTTAATTAAAAATGGGTAATGGAAGCAAATGCATGCGACCTCCTAATTCTATATGGTATGCTTTCAACGATTTTTTACTACCTAATTTATTTTGTCTGTGTTACTAAAATACTTTAACGTAAGCATAAATGTGAAGCTACTACATATTCATTTTAATGAAAAGGAATAATAATTTCTTATGAATAATTTTATTCCAAGGTATATCATGTATGTATTTCTATCTGAGGGCAACTGTAAAACAATAAGAAAAAAAGTGTTTATTTGTTTGGGTTTTATTTTGTTTCTGTTTTTTAACGTCCCTTTCGAGAATTTTTCACTCATATAGAGACGCCGCCATTTGCCGGTGAACGGCTGCAAATTTAAACCTATACTCGGCACTCAGGGCTATTGAGAAGTGATGGATCTTGTTCGTGCTAGCACCTACTGTGACACGGGACCTCGGTTTACACGGTCTCATCCAAAGGACTGGTCTCCACGTCCCACAGTTGGATTCGAACCCGCGACCTAAGGATCAACTCCAGTTATTCCGCGACTCTAGAGAAAAACTCTTACAACTGCGCCACGCGGGCGACAAGAAAGAATGTAAACGAATTTCTGAAATGAAAGGTTGTTTCTCAGGAAATAAATAGAAAAATGGAATGAAAGATGACCGAGATGAAAACACTTTTATTAAAAAAAAATTCTTCAGGTAAGCTGAAGGATTTTTTTTTTTTGAAAATATATCACCAAACTCTAAATGACAAGTCATACTTCGTTTTATACTCCTTTGCAGTTCACAAAGTTGTATTGTTGCATCCAAAGTTAGAAAGCAATATGAAGACCACTAGTAGGGACTTTTAACACACCCTGTACATGATATTATCATTCGATAACTTCGTTCTTGTGTACATGTACATTCATTCGTATGTCTTTCTCGTCTGTTGGCTAATTAAAATGTACTTTAATTCATCATGCAACCTCACATAATATGTAATTTTTCCTTTTAAATAACAACCCATAATTCATTTCTGTAAAAATAATTGGTCGGATAGTTGTCTATATTACAAATTGTAAAAAAGCTTGTAATAAAAGTAATGTTCTCACTAAAATGGCAAAACTGAAAAATAATTAGAGGCAACTGAGATTCAATATATCTCTTCATATTAGCTCTTAATGTGGACACATTAGAGTTTACATAAAATATGTCTACGCACTGTTTTCCGAATTAAAGCTTTTAAAAGCATAGGTATTCTTTAATGGACGAAAAATGTGTAATTTATTTAAATCCACAGGTTATCTCAAATGAAATTTAAGAAAATTTTGGAAATATTTTTTTAAAAATCAAGACTTACGATACACTTATTTCATTTTCGTTTAGAAACGTGACATACAGGAACATCGTGAAACAGAACATACGTGTGATACATGTATGATTCTGTCGATAAACTGATTAGCTTCTCATTCATGTACACGTGAATTTTTTTTCCTAATAAAGATAATTTTCAGACCCTTGCGCACGAGGATGGTATGGTAGTAATTGTTCAATGCAATGCAGTGGTAACTGTTACAATGATGAAACTTGTCATAATGTAAACGGCGGTTGCTTGAATGGATGTAAGCCTGGATACAGAGGAGATAGGTGTTCACAACGTAAGGAAAATTAACATGTGACAGCATTTATTTAACTACATGAATAGGTACATGTAATACATAAGAAAAGATTTAAAAAAAGTTGAATTTTTTTTTTATACTTTTTTTATATTTTATTATATTTGTTCTTACTTACATGTACAATTTAAAAGCCTGCATATGGACTAATATGTTAAAAAAAAATTATTTAAAACTTGAATTTAAAAGAGGGAGAGAGTATTGAACGTCTAATTCATTTTTATTTTGATATGCTTCAAATTGCAGAATGTGAAAATGAGACATATGGTTTAAATTGTCAAAACAAATGTAGTGGACATTGTTTTGAGAAAGAAATATGTGACAATGTAGACGGAAACTGTACAAAAGGCTGTGAAAAAGGATGGGAAGGTAGCCAGTGTTCTAATGGTATGTGGGAGCAATATACGTTTCTTAAATACTTTCAATTAAAGTTAATTGAATTAAACCCCTAACATACAATGAACGAATGTAAGTCATAGTTTATGGAAAGATTAATTCATATTGATAGAAATCACAAGTGGGCATCATGGTTTCATTAACAGCTTGTAAAATTGGCACATATGGAGAAGACTGCAAATACAACTGCAGTGGCAATTGTTATGAAGACATGCCTTGTGACAGATTTAATGGCACTTGTCCGAACGGATGTGACGTCGGATGGTCAGGATCTATGTGTGAAAAACGTATATGAAGTATTGTATCAATGGATTATTTAAAATATCCAGATAAAAATTGTGAAATAGGAATGCCAAATTACACAAAAACACCTTTGCTCATGTTTCTTTAATTGATTTATATAAAAAAAAAAAATTGATCATATATGTACACATTGTTAAAATGCATAATGAATACTTTTTTAAAGAATGTTCGCAGGGGAAGTATGGATTCCAATGCAATGATACTTGCAATACATGTAAAAATGCGATATGTCATCATATTAATGGATCATGTTCTCTTGGTTGTGCCGACGGTTGGACGGGAGACCTATGTGATGAAGGCATGTACAGCTGTTATTTTACAAATTATGTAAATAATCAAAGTACTCAGAAGTACAGAGAGCCGGGATTATTTATAGAGCAGTGACCAGTACCGTTTTACATGAAACATATACATGGAATAACTGCTACATAAGAAGTTCAGAATTTTTTTCTGCGATAACTTATTAAATGCATTTAAATTTTTTTTTAAAACACAGGCATTTTTTTTAATCGTTTCTGTATAACAATATACCTGTATAACGTCGGTGTCAGGATATCGCATTACATTACCCACATTTGATTTCATTGGAACAACATTCTCCAGATTACTTTGTTAGATATTTTCAATTTGCAGTTCGCAATACTTTTGTCATCTGTTATTTTTTTCCCTTTTTTTTAATTTTAATTTAATATGCTAAATATGCCAAATATCGCAACATCCAACCTATAGCTAGTAACAAGTGCGCATATACTACATGTATACACGCGTGGCGAGGCAAAAACATTTTGATTGTGTGTCGCACGTGGCCTGTGTGTACATAAGGCAGCAGAGGTTATGTGGTATTAAAAGGGGGGCTTTATATTCCAGGTTTACAAATAAATGTTTTAGTAAAATACTAGAAAGATAAAACACTAAAGTAAAGTTACAAGATTTTTAACATGAATTGCTTTATTTGAAAATAAACCTTATTTAACTTCCTTTAAAAGCTTGCCTGACGTGAGAAAACAATATATTTCTGATATTTGAAAATTTGAAAAGTTTAACCACGCGTCATCATCAACAATTAATTGAGAACACGAACTGATCTAATTTGAAAAGCGTAATGGTAGAGACAGGTAATGTTTATATTGGCGGTTGTTGGATTACCATCCGGGTTAATCCGCGCAGATACAGTCCCTGAAACGTTCTACTTTCCCATTTTTCCGTTCGCTCACCGTTCGTTCACCGTTCGTTCAGCGTGCGTTCACCGTTCGTTCACCGTGCGTTCACCGTTCGCTCTCCGTTCACAGTTTTGCGTTCACCGTTCACCGTGCGCTCGCGTTCACCGTTCACAAAGCGTTCAGCGTTCGCTCTTCGTTCCGTTCACTTTGCGTTCACCTTGCGTTCAGCGTTCACCTATCGTTCAGTGTCATTGCCATTCGGAACTCCCAAGTGAAAGGACTTATCTTTTTGTAGGTAAGGAGTTACAGATTGTTTAATTTAATACTAACATATCGTGTTTGAAGAATCATTATTTCATGGGGGAAAATATCTAAGATATATATTTTTATTATTCTAACTTAGCTATTAGGTTATTTATTAAATTACTCTGGAAAAAAATGTTGTTATAAGCACATCCTGTACCTATGTAGAACGATGCTGAAATATTAAATTTAACTAAGGCCAATGTGCAAATACTTCAAGCACTGCAACATTTTGATGTTTTGTTAAAGACGACAAATCGTTAATGGAAATATAATTATCCAAGTCAAATAATTACGCAGCAAAATTACGAAAATATTTATTTCTAACGTGTTTTTTTATTCAATTACTACAGAAAATATGATAGAACTAGTTCTGAGAGTTATACATAGTACTGCGGATATCCTGTTAATTTATTATCTTTGGAGCGAATTAAATTGATAGTGTGTTTAAAGGAAATATTTATTTAAAATGTAATGCACTACAGAATATTCGCTACTATAATACATGTATGTAAAGTCTATAGTTATAGAGAAAAAAATTTTTCTTCACCGTAACTTTATATGTTTGCTATTCGATATGATTAATACCCCCCCCCCTTTTCCCCTAAATCGGTTACTTAGTCAGTACTGTATTTCCAGAAAATTTTAATTAACCTGTAAAAAAAAGTTAAGGTCTTTTTTAGAACAAAAAATTCAGTCTCAAAACAAACATGCATCTAAAAAAAGTCACAAAACAATAGTAGTTCAAAATGTACACGTGTATTTGAAATTGGCAGAGATTATGTTTCAAATTCAAGTGTTAATGCCCAATATATTTTATTCACTAATTATTCAAATGTTGGTATCAAATCTAGAAATTATAAAAATAAATGTTATAACTTGTTGGAAATACTCGCACTTCGTCTTCGATGTGACGAAACTTTCACACCTGCACAGTGTCGAATGATTTTGATTGACAGGACAAGCACGTGGACTTCGTGTGAACTTGAAGCAGGAAAATAAAAACGAGTTATACTGTCAAACAGATGGATATGATTTGTTGATAATAAAAAAAAGTTATTTTCACTGTCTAATATATTTAGAAAAAAATATCAGAGTTTTTGTTTGATATAGGTGCAAACATTTAGTGAAGCCTGAAAGGAAGGGGGGGGGGGCTAAAACGGAATCTCTCTCTCTCTTTTCTCTCTCTCTTTCTTTCTCTCTCTCTCTCTCTCATTTGTCTGTTTGATAAAAATTATAACAGCATATTACTTAAATATCAAGTTCGGAAAATAGAATTTATAACAAATAATATGAATATGTATCTTTGTATTATCTTGTCTGAGTATAATCACGGCCATCTACAGATACATGTAGAAGTCTGCTCAATAAATCATCATAAAAAATAGAAATGACACATAATACATTTTTGTATTAAAAATTTAAAATACGAGCGTATAAATGCAAAACGTCCACTGACCTTTGTAATTAATTTTTTTATTACTTTACATGAAATCGCCTTGACACGGAGATACATATATGAATGGATGTTACAATCGCTTTAATTCATTCTATAAGTCAGAAGTTTTCTCTGATTTGTTATCAAATAAGAATAAACATTTTTATTTTCCAACTAAAAAAATATCTTTTACACTTTAGCGTTCGGCAACAATTGCAATGTTTTAATGCGTTAAAAATCGTGTGATTAAAAACTTATGTGCATGAATCGTCTTTCTTAGGACAATTTTGGAGAATTTATTTTATTTACTTATTTATTCATTCATTTATTGGTTTACTTATTTTATTTATTTATTTTTTTTTTTGGCACCTGACATTATAATACAATAAAATAGTTTCAATGCAAGGAAAAGATCAGAGGCATTCCGAATATATCGTTCATCTTGCGTTCACCGTTCGTTCACCGTTCACTTTGCGTTCGCGTTTGCGCTCCGTTCGCGTTCTGCGTTCGCTCACCGTTCACCGTTCACACATCGTTCACCAAGTTGCGTTCAGCGTTCACACATCGTTCACTCACCGTTCGCTCTGCGTTCGTTCAGCGTTCGTTCACCGTTCGTTCAGCGTTCGCTCACCGTTCAAGTGGGAAAGTAGAACGTTTCAGGGACTGTAGGCGATCCCGTAAGCCGGGCTATTGCTTACGGTATGGAGCCCGGCTAAAAATATAATTGAAACTTATATAATTAACTTGATGCGGTTGAGAGGGCTAAAATAGGCTGTGCCTGCTGTCCGATCCCATTCACTCTTTGTGAATAAAATTATATATAAAGCTGAACTTGGTTTACAGTGTGTCCTGATGGTTCCTTCGGACCTGCCTGTTCTTCACAATGTGGAAACTGTGAAAATGAAACATGTCATCATGTTACTGGATTGTGTCCAGGCAAATGTAAAGAAGGATGGAAAGGGGATAAATGTTTACAAGGTTACATGTAAATTTAGTCATGGCTTTCGTGTCTAGATTTTAATATGCAAAGATTTTGAAATATAACAGTTTTTTTTAATTAAAAGACAGTCAGTATTGAAACTTTACAAAGGCATCTTTTTAAAGAATGATAGATTTGAAAAAGCTATCTGTTTAATACTTTTTCCCCAGTAATGAGTTGTAAAGAGACATTTATTGGTTTTATTAATATATTCACGTATGTCTGTTAGAACCGAAGCTGGGAACTTTTAAGTCAATAACGTACATGTAATTGTTTTTCATGTAGTTTTTGCCTTGATAACTGAGGACCCTAGAGACACTCCTCTCAGTATGTTTGTTGTGACTGGAGCTGTCGTAGGTGTAATGGTGGCTCTTGTACTTATAGTTGTTGTTATAGTGATTAGGTAATAGGCATGCATATATTCTCCAAAACTTCTTTTACTTTTTTTCTTTTTAAAACTGATTTTGGGGTTGATTATAGAATTAAACAATAAAATTATCAAAAAGATTTAATTATATTTTGGAGAAATCGAAAATTTTATTTCCATAAGGAATGTATTTTTGTCTGAGTTATCATAATTTTTATCTTTGGGGTTGGGGTGGGGGTATTGTCATTGCCTGAAATGGGTACATTCATTATTTTGATAGATCTTTTTTCATCATTAAGGGTTCGAAAAGGACAACAACATTTAGGGAAACCTAACACTAAACAACATCAAAAGCTAGAAGGTATTTCAATAGCAATGTATTCTATAAAGTTTTACAATTAAGATCAACACGGTTTGAGTGATGTAAGTATGTTAATAATTCATTATCAATAGAGAATTTACCGTATTAATTGCTTGAAAAAAGGTCTACTTTTACGCTCAGCATTTTTTTAAGATCTCATGAATATGGATACCCTAACTGATAAACTAAGTCCTGCAGAAGAGACTCAGAAGATTGATGTCGCAGAGGAGTCAACATATTACAACATTGAGACCACAACTAGAAGTAAAGTGGACACTTCCGGTGACATCATAATTGCAGAGTTAGGCAATGTCATTGTGTTAAAGATCAAAAAGGAGTGCAGTGAATTCAAAAAGGAATATGAGGTTGAAAGAATGCACCCATCGTTCTATTTTTAGCTCACCTGAGCTTGAAGCTCAAGTGAGCTTTTCTGATCACTTTTTTTCCGGCGTCCGTCTGTCTGTCCGTCTGTCTAGCTGTCTGTCTGTCCGTCTGTCTGTCCGTCTGTCTAGCTGTCTGTCTGTCCGTCTGTCTGTCCGTCTGTAAACTTTTCACATTTTCGACTTCTTCTCAAGAACAACTGGGCCAATTTCAACCAAACTTGCCACAAAGCATTCTTGGGTAAAGGGGATTCAAGTTTGTTCAAATGAAGGGCCAAGCCCTCTCTCAAGGGGAGATAATTAGGAATTAGTGAAAAAATAATGGCATCATTTAAAAATCTTCTTCTCAAGAACCATAGGGCCAGGAAAGATGAAACTCATATGGAAGCATCCTCAGGTAGTGTAGGTTCAAGTTTGTTCAAATCATGACCCCCAGGGTTAGGGCGGGGCCACAATGGAGGATCAAAGTTTTACTTAGAAATATTTAGGAAAAATCTTTAAAAATCGTCTTCTCAAGAACAGCAAAGCCATGATGAGTCATATTTATATGGAAGCATCCTCAGGTAGTGTAGATTCAAGTTTGTTCAAACCATGACCCCCGGGAGTAGGGCGTGGCCACAATGGAGGATCAAAGTTTGACATAGAAATATAAAGGAAAGTATCATCTTCTGAAGAACTGCAAACCATGATTAGTCATTTTTAAATGGAAGCATCCTCAGGTAGTGTAGATTCAATTTTGTTCTAATGATGACCCCCAGGGGTAGAGTGGCGCCCAATGGGGGATGGAAAGTTTTACATAAGAACATATAGAAAAAAGATTTCTTCTCAAGAATAGAAAAGCTATGTTTAGTCATATTGATATGGAAGCATCCTCAGGAAGTGTAGATTCAAGTTTGTTCAAATGATGACCCCCGGGATAGGGAGGAGCCACAATGGGGGATCAAATTTTTACAAAGGAATATATTTGAAATTTTTTTTAATATCTTCTCAAGTACAACAAAGCCATTTGTTATATTGACATGGAAGCATCATCAGGTAGTTTAAAATTCAAGCCCCCCCCCCCCCCCCAGTAATCTTTTCAATACTGAACTGATCTGTGCTTTTGCCTAGCCAATGTGCTCAGGTGAGCGATATGGCCCATGGGCCTCTTGTTTATTTATTTTTTTTTTTTTGGACGATTTTCAAAAAGAAAATATTTTACATAGGTTGTTTTTAAATATTATTCTTGCACAATATTTCTCAAAGGAATGATATGAATATATCTCGGGTCAAAAACTAATGTAAGCGTTATGCTTAAAATCACTATAATTTGTATTTATTCCTAAGTGATTTTCTCACCAGTACTTTTTTTAGTTTTTAATTATTTTAAAATGTTTGGTTTTTAGGCCATTCCTTATGGTGAAGAGGCTCACATACCTTGTACAGTGGGGAAACGTCCAGAAAACAAACCAAAAAATAGATTTAAAACAACTTTTCCATGTATGTCATACAGCACAAAGAATAAAAATATTATAATATACATTTGCCAGTAGATGTTAGCATAGTTTAGGTTGTCTACTTTTGGAAGGGGGCAGCTTGAATAGGGCTTGCTTTATATACTCAAACAAGAACAAAATATACTTATCCTGCTTTCCCCTCTCAAAACGATGGTGGATTTTGCTTTTTCTCACTGCCTCTCTTCTTTTGTTTGCCGTATTCTGTCCAAAGGATATCAAAGAGATATTAAGCTTATTTCAGTGAAAATTGAATTGAAGGAAATAGTTAAAGTTAATGGATATATAATAATTTCAGATATTCTAAAGGATCTTCTACAAGAAGCCAATGCCTTTATAAAACTGACCCAAAGAAATTTCAGAAAATCTTAACAGTATCCAATTTCATATGAGAAAAGAATATGCCCTGGGATAAGAAAAAGAAAATCTGCTTACAAATGCAATAGATCATTAATACAACAGTGCTGTTTCATTTGCCTCTCTGAAATCTCTCTGAAATACTTTCTGAACGATGCTTTCTTCTTAGGCTCCATGTGCGATTATTTAGAATGAAATTTACTAAGTAAATCGTTTAAAATTATTTACCCAGATGATCATTCTCGGATTGTCCTAAGATGTACAGAGAGTGATTACATCAACGCAAATTATATTAAGGTAAGAGCTTCAAAACCTGTTTTTCTATTTATTAATATCTTGTCAAAATACATGGAAGAAAGCTCTTTAATAATATTTATCAGAATCATGGTCTCAAAGTATAACTGATCATAAAAGATAAAGAAAATGCAAGCAAACTAAACAATTACTTATCGATATCTTCAACTAAAAAAAATAAATATTTTTGTGGGTTTGTTTCAGAACATGAAGGAAGAAAGAGCGTACATTGCATCACAAGGTAAATCACTGCGTGTACATGTGTATTGAAAACGATCATTTTTGATTAATATAACTATTTATACACCAGCAATAAAAACAATCTATGATTTATAGGCATAATGTAATTCGATTAATCATCAAACGTTGCTGAATACTTTGCAAATTTCATTAGCATCTACATTTCCTACAGGCAAGATTTCGTCCTCTACATTTTATAATATTTCTTGAATTCAAAGCAAATAACTTGAAAAAATACATATAATTATATAATAATGAAAACACCCTTTTCAACCATTTATCAAAGATGAAAGTTAACAGGGAGTGCCAGTATACCCAGTAAATAAAGTAAGTAATTACAACAAGAAAATATCAAATTGAATTTGTTTTTATTTGGCTGAATGGGCCATGGCCGCTTAAAATGAGGGAGCCGAGGCATCAATATATAGCCTTATATGGCATCCCTTAAAATGCAAATGGTGAACCCTGGGAACAGATGTTCACAGCATAATAATAGAGTTTCAGACAAAATAATCGGATATATATCAAGCAAGTCCATTGAGCCTACTGGTAAGCCTGAAAGCCGCCACGAGACTATGCGGTGGCATAGTCTGCGCCACCAGTAGCTTCGATAGAAAACCCCTCATCCCCAAACAAAACAAATAATGCATTCCCAATTAACAGCAGGTAATAACAAGAAAAAATTGCAGTTTGCCAAGGCAATTTTTTAATGGCGAAAGCATCGCCTGCATTGCAAATTTCAACAAAACTGGGTATGTAAATGCAAATGAGTAGCACTCATAAATTCAATGCAGCCACCAATTTGTGGCAAACTATGACCAACTAACTAGTCATAGCGCAGCCAAGGCCCAAACTCCATTAGTTTTGGTGACAATTTTTCAGAAGGATTTGTTAAAAATGTCTGCAAGCCTTGTTGAAGGCGATACAAAAACAAACGGTTGCCAAGCTCGGACAAGTGCACTCCATCGGGAGCAAACAATCCTGGACTTGTCAAGTGGATTTCGGGATAACGAATATACTTCCCCCCGGACCTAATTAATGTAGCAATGAAACTATTCAGGCGTTTTCTAACCTTGTCCAAGGCTTTTTGGTTAATACCGCCACGCCAATGCTGGCGGGGGAGGATTTGAGACCACACTAAAATGGTATCTGGCAACAGCTTAGCCAAGCTGACCAAGGTTGTGTTAATATTTAATCTTAATTTGATTGACTTGTCACCCCTAGCATCAGGAATATTGTTGCCTCCACAATGCAATACTAAAATCTGAGGAGGGTCTTCTAATTTTAATAAGAATTTAACCTTTGGCATAACTTCAGCCCATCTCATACCCCCTTACCCTGCCAAAATATGGATGCATGATGCCTTTCTAGTTCAAGGTTGGCTCTAAAATCTGATTGCCTTGCCTGGCAAAAGGCCCTTTTAACAATGGAAGAACCCACAATCTAAATCCTAATATCTACAATACAAAATCGTTTTGAAAAACAAGAAAAAAGGAACAATACAAAAATTTCTGTACACAATATTTCACTCCTACATTTGAGCATACATAAAAGAAAAACTGTAGTCTTAGTCAGTAAAGGTAAAGCTACCTTAACTTGCTGAACTGCACATTTTGCACCATATGACATTTAAAAGCTCATTTTCTAAAATAACGGTACATACATTGAGATTTCCAACGACCCTTGACCGCTATATCTTGCTGACTCGTACCACTAGCCCAAGCATGGGAAGCAGCACCAATACGGAAGGAATGGGTCTTGTAAGTTTTAGTATCTAAGCCTAGCATTTCTATAGCCTTTTTAAATACAGACTCTGCCTGATACCTGGTCACTGGACAGCCCGACAGATGAATGAAAAAAGCCCCATAAGCATGTGGTCTTAAAAGTAAATATTTGCGCAGAAACTGAATTGGGCAGATTGGACTAGAAGGAATTAATGTGATTGTGGCCCCATTCCCTTCTTGATCAGTTTTGGAGTGACTTAAGGACATTACAATAGTATTGTTGGTTGTTAATCTGACATCACTTGCTTGGATAGCATGACCGGGTTGGTCTTTAGAATCCTGAACGAGCTCCCCAATTCTAAAGTAACCAAAAAATGCCGAGCAAAACAGTGCACTAAATAACACCGACTCATAGTCAGATCTACATACTTGGGGGAGGATAGACAAAATGCTTTGAGGTATGTTGATAGTGTCAGATAGGTTTGCGAATGTCCTTCCTAGCGCTAACGCGACCCCACCCAAGTAGAACCTTCTGTAACATAAACGATTTTGTTGTATCTAGTAAACCTTGGATTCTGCAAAAATAAGATATTGCAGCCATATATGTTTTAACTGTGCTTGCAGAGAACTGCTTAAATGAAAGATAAGCTACAAAATGAATTAGGTCTTTAGAATTTGGTGGCCAACATTGATTACACTTGTACACTTCGCAGAAATAACTGAACTGCTGCAATGCTGCCTGATATAGCTTTTTCGTGTTTACTGATAGGGAAAAGTTTAACAATTCTTGGGATCGATGTTGTAGATGAGTCTGAGAAATGATTCTGGGACTGTCGTAGGTAGATGGTCGGCTTCTGGAAAGACCTGTCTGAATCTGTGCCACTGAAGACGAGAAAGAGAATCAGCCTTAACATTTTTCACTCTCCTAATATGCTGCCCTTTAAATTGAATATTGTGCATGAGGCCCTTCAAGACCAAAACCGTTAAGAGATGCATAACTCTGGGTGATTTGGATGTTTTAGTATTTAAAATAGTGACAAGTGCAATATTGTCAGTATGTAAAATAACTCGCTTTTCCCCCAACTGATCTCCCCAAATAGACAATGCCATTGCTATCGGTACCAGTTCCAAAAAGGTAATGTCCTTTAATATGCTAGTCCCTTGCCAAGATTCTGGCCATTTTAAAAAAGCCCAATGAGTTCCAAAAATAGCCCCACACCCTAGTTTATCCGAACCAGCGCTATCTGTATACAACTCTAATTGAAAGTCACTGGCCCAGTCTTCTTGTGTATATGATGTTGTACCATTGAAAGTTTCTAGGAACATTAACCAAATTTGTATGTCTTGCTTCATTTCCTGAGTAACGCGTCTCTTGTGATAAGGCTTGCTAAGCCCAACAGTGGCATCATACAAGCGCCTGATGAATGCTCGACCCGCTGGAATTGCCCTAATGCAGAAATTTAGAAGGCCAGTGAGGGACTGGATTTCCCTAAGTGTAACTTTTTTACGAGATAGGAAATAACTGAGCTGATCATAAAGCTGACCCGGCTTCTCTGAGGGGATACTAACAGTCTCTGTGACTGTATCAATTTCCAAGCCTAAAAATACCAATTTTGTTGTAGGACCTAAGGTTTTTTCGTGGGCTAATAGGACCCCCAGATCATTGCATAGATTGGTAAATGTTGAGACTAAATAATGACACTGCTTTGTCCCAGATGCACCTGCTAGTAAAAAATCATCCAAATAGTGGACTACATTATCAGATTGACTCTTTTGTTTTAAACACCATTCCAGAAAGGAAGCAAACTTTTCAAATTTAGCACAACTCACAGAACAGCCAAATGGCATACACTTGTCGATATAAATACTGCTGTTGATTTTGTACCCTAGCAACTCAAAATCAGAGGGATGAACTGGTAGCAAACGGAAAACATTCTTAATGTCTAAACGAGCCATAAAAGTTCCTGGACCTAACTTTTCCAACATTCTCAAAGCTTCATCAGATGATGTGTATTTAACTGAACAATACTGAGGATCAATGAAGTCATTCACACTATCACCAAATGGGTGGGACAAATGATGAATAAGACGAAATGTACCATCTTTTTTAGGTACCATACCTATGGGGGACAGTCTTAGGTTGAGAAATGGAGGGCAGAAAAATGGGCCAGCAACCCGACCTAAACTTATTTCTTTATTGACTAATTGTATAGCTTCTGTAGTAAGTGAACTCAAAGACTTAAGATTTTTACAGTTGTATGGCTGTCTAGGACCTTGGTAATTTAATTTAAAACCAAATTGAAACCCTTGCAATAGTTCATGTGCATTTTCTGTGTCAGGATAATTAGTCAAACAATCTGATAAAACTGAAGTCTTGATTGGACTGTAAGCAATACTACTGATGTCTAACTGGTGTTGAGAGGGGGGTTCTGAAACTGCTAGTAGCTGGCTTGACTGTTGATTGAGCACGCCAGGTTGACTGAGAGTTCCCAGATCTAAAATTTAATGAATTTCTAGTAGTGGTTCTACACATTGTAAAGGGATGGGGTTGTGAACATAAAATGCACCAGTGCCTATATTGGCAGTTTTGCCTTGAACAATAACCCTTGTAGTTGAAAACATAACACTTTAAGGGTTGGGATGGCTGAATAGCAGGCTGTCGGTGAAGGGCATTGTTATACATGTAAAGGAGCCAAAGCTCCTGATCAACTGACGCAAATGACATTGAAGGGTTGCACTCTTTCTTCAATCTGAATTGAATGTCATAGTCCCGCCAACCCAGGCCATTAACCCGGCTTGCCCCGAGACGTATTGTGTGGATATATTTAAACAGAGCAGCGTTTTCCATGGGGCGAGCCAGCACATAAATGGCTGCATAGACAAGAAATGCATCTGTCCACATTTGGATGTCAGTAATGGGTTTTAATTTAGATTTTGATGATAAAGCCAAATTGCCATTTTGCAGTGAGAAATATCTAGTATCATCGTGGGGGTCAGTTTCGAGCTTATTGTTGATTAATGAAGCTAAATTAACATATTCGCCATTGGCAATTTTGAGTTTAATATTGTTGGATACATTATGCCCCAAATCATTATCATAACTAGAAACTCTTATGTTCGCATTGGATGAAGGAATACCTTCTGTCCCCTGAGGTTGGGCTGGGTCTTCTCGCTCAGACAAAATTGTGGAAATGCGTTGAGCCAGATCCTGAAGTTGGTAGGGTGGCATAACGTTGGTAGGCATTATCGTGGGTGCAGTAGCCTGTACATCAGAAGGGCAATTGATAGGCTGGACTGTTCCGTCCGTGATGCTCGCCGACGGAGGAACTTCGGAAATTGTCTCCAGACGAGGCTCTCGTCTCCCTGCTCGTTTCCGTGGCTGAGCCTGGGTCTGACTCGCCGTCTTCCGCTTAGGCATTTCGAATCTTTGAAAACGTCTGCTTCGACTGATGATGAATCTGTGCACTTATGACGTAAGCAAAATGTGTTGAGGTGAAGACTAATTGACGCAGGACCAAAATAAACAATCCCAAAACACCGTATTTATATAAAAATTAATAGTTTTTCCCTTTGATAAATGGATTTAACCTTTAATGGTGAAATCCTATTATTTTTGTGTTTATTGCATTTAAATTTCAATAAATGCTGATTTTAAAATATGTTAAATAGTTATTAAAATAATAAAAAATAAATAAATAAAAATCGTTTGAAAACTTTGCAGTACACGACAGATTCTATTAAGGAAAACAGATTCTATAAAGGATTATGAATTGTATTTCATACACTTTTCTCTAGGGCCTAAACCTAATACTGTGGCTTGTCATTGGATGATGATATGGCAAGAGAACGTTTCTGTGATTGTCATGCTGACTAATCTTATAGAAGGAATCAAGGTAGGGGAAAAGCGGTTTTGGCTTGCTCAGAAATACTTCCTGCTACTGATTTCTTAATCCGTATGTCCATTACATGCAATATATATCTTTGAAAGAAAATAGGGAGCTTTAGGGGTTCAATTCTGTGACGAATCAAGACTTTATACATGTATAGATAATTTTTGATAATAATAACAATAAAACAATATCAATATTATTGCAACTTGGCAAAATTCAAATGTCAGAATCATAAATAAAGCTGAAGTATATAACCATTACTATCTATTAAATGTACCATTTATATTATCATTACCATAAATTACATGTACCATATATATAGATGTAAATATTCTTAAAAAATAGAGAAATATAAAACCATTCAACAATGTTATAGAAATAACAAACACACAATACACTACACTTCTCCTTCTCATATATTACATCTAGTAGTAATAAAATAGATATTTGTTATTCTATCAAAATTAAATAAATTTTTCTTTCAGAAAAAATGCGAGAAATATTGGCCTGACTTAGACATGGAAATGGTCTCTGGTAAAATTGAATTACAACTTCTTCAGGAAAAAGTATATGCAAACTATGTTGTGAGAAGATTAAAAGTAAATAATTCAGAGGTAAATAAACTAAGTTACTCTTTTTTTTTTTTTTTTTTTTTTAATTTTATTGAGATGTTTCTTTCTTAAGCAGTGTTGCACTAAATGAATGATTGCATTTGTATGACTTTTGTAAAACTAACGTGAATAAACACAATATTTTTATATGTCATTCAGTACTCAAAATCAATAATGATAAAGCTTTTCTAGAGACTCTCCTTGATTTTATTTACTTTATTTATAAATAAAACAATTAAGGTCAGGGTAATAAAGCAGTACTTGTTCACAGCCTTGACATCTACGTATATAATAACGTTCCTGTTTGTATCTAGAGAACGTATCCGGATATCCGATGATTCATCTTTTTAATGATACACGACGTCGCGCACGGTGTTGGTGTCTAAAAGTCAAAAATTCCATTGCGGCAGCATTTGCGCTATTTTTATAATTTTGAAACAATTAACTGTATGAAAACTATATATCATTCGGTTGGTAATTGTGTATTAAATATATTTTAAAATAAATATTGATAAAAAAAATTCCATTTATTGAATATGTTAATTCGACTATGCCGTCAGTAACGTCCAAAACGCATGTAGGCAGGTAACGCGAGCGTCGCACACGCAATAAGAAAATGTTGATAACTTCCATAAAACAAACAATACAAACATAGAATTTAGCAGAAAAATTCAAAATATGATGTGAATGATGTAAATTTTTACAATTGTGATGACATTCAATCCGTATTCTGAGAACACCTCGCTCAATATGCAAGACAGGGATGTAGATCAGCGTTAACCGAAGAAATACGGAATGAACATGAAATGTCTTTGGGTACTATTAAATATTAGCTAAATTAATTTTGAAATTACATCTTGATGATCCTTTTGGTGTGTACAGAACTATATTTTAGAATAGAATGATTTTGTTTGTTGGTATGTATGTTGGGTACCTGATATTAAGAATATTTATTGGGAGGATATTAAATAAGATGGTGTGTCACAAAGTTTAGAGGTTCAGTGTCACAATTTTTTTTAAGATCCTTAGAATGGCTAATTTTGTAATATTGAGTGAAAAATCAATGTTAAATATTTTTTTAGATTCTACAAAAATGTTGTCATGTTACTAAAAAAACATTTCTATACAGAATTTTTATTTGAGATGTCGTAAATGTTAAGAATAATACCCGTGTCACATATATGTTCAACATGTAGTTATGTGTCACAATGAAATTTGACGACAAAAACGTCACATTTAAATACGACACGCAATAAACTGATTTCATTTTGAGAATTATTTTTCTAATATGGCACCATACAACATTAAATACAAAATGTGCAAAATCAAAGCTTCATTGAGATATAAAATTGAATTGATTCTTGAAAGAAATGTTTGTTTTAGAGGCTATCTACGAAGTCAACATTGAATGTCACACATTGTCCAAAAACTAATAAATCTTATTATTATGGTACAACTGTGGTTGGATAAATCATATGTGTAGTCATTAAATATAGACATATTGAAAATTAAAGGATTTTTATCAAATGTGCATCTCTTCAAAAAGTTATCAGTATATTCCAAATTAATTTCAATAGAATGGTGACAAAATCCTAACAAAAAATAAATGTCAGCATGTTATGTCAAAGACGTAAAAATAAGGCATTTTGACGTTATTACGTGCACTTGCATAACATCAAAAGATTTTATCCAAAACTTACGCTTTTTGCTGGTATGGATGGAATAAAACTGTACCAATAGTGATCAATTTTAAGAATAATTTAAATTCTGACAAGTGTATTTATATATTAAAACAAAACATGTACACTAACAGCGTATACACTGTATCAGTACATATCCTTGTCAGAATCTGTCCAAAAGTACTCATCACTCGCAGTATAGAAAAAAAACACATACACCAAAATTTATACAAGGATAACGATTTCAAATTTTCTAACAATAAAGTGTGCCAACTCTGTTTGATGCTGGCAAACCGTAGTACATGGCTGCGTTGGAAGGCATTTTACATTGGGTAGTCGAATATTGAATCAGGGTTGAGGTGGGGGTGGGGGTGGTAGTTGGAGGTAGTGATTTCACTTAAATTTCAGATTTTCACTAGCATATTGATAATTATTTCTTTTTGTCATCAATCGATAGCATCGTCTGAAATAAAACAAAGTTGTATTTTATTATGTTACCATGAACAAAAAAGGTATGCAAACAACATTCAAAATGGTCGACATTGTTATGGAAACAGAATAATAAATAGAGTATATTACGCTATTTCTTTCAATTACAAATCTTTGTTTTTCATTAGAATTGAAATTCACTAGTGAATGAGACATTTATGCTGTCTAAGAACTGCGTAGACATAAAAAGTAAACTAGGTTATAATCAAGGAGATGTAATTGCTATGCACTGATGAAAACATATTTACAATGTAGTAGGCTTAATGAATATTTCATTTTGGAGGCTTTGTAAAAAGTAATAAATTGTACAGTGATTATAGCTATTTACATTAACCTATAAAGATCTTTCCACAAAATATTTTCAATAATTCAAAATGTTATCTTTTATTGTTATTCACCCATATAAACTCGGGCCATATTGGTTGCACCTGTTAGTTGGTCGGTATATTCAGTTGGTCAGTAGACCAAGAGTTGTCCAATCAATATCTTGAGAAACCTTTGCTTGCAATTGACGGTACACTTCCAGGGCATTGAATTTTGCTTTGCACTAATTACTGTTACACTAACGTTTTCCACTTTGCATTTCAATAGCTAAAATCTTCCTGTACCCGTATTGTGACCCAGTTTCATTACACCCAGTGGCCAGATCATGGTGTGCCTGATCCATTAAGTTTGGCCGTCTTCCAGAAACACGTGAGGGGAATCCAAAACGAACATAAAAACAATCCTCTTCTTGTTCACTGCAGGTCATTATTTTAATTTTTTTTATAAGTAAAAATAAATTATAAGTAAGAGTAATTTTGCTTTACGTATTTTAATATCTCAATTAAGACTGTGAGTACATTTTCACGTTAGTACAATGAGCAGCTTGCTGAGTCGGTCAGCCACATCATTCATTTAAAGTTTAAAGGAAATATGAAGAAGAATCCAAGGGAAATCATTTTAAATTTTAAAGGGCTGGATAAAAATTTGTTTAATGCGTTGGCAAAATCAATATAACCTTCAAGAAATTCCAGATTTCTACAAAATGAAGTTTCAACAATGAAGTTATTCCATGTCAATCTAGAACTTTTCCTTCGATATTGTGCTTGGGAGTTCAATTTTTTTAAAAATTTATTTTGATTTCCTTAGTTGCGTTGGGATAAAAATAATATGTGTTCTGAATAAATAAGGTTCAGGCTTTCATTGTCTGTTTGTTACGTCTTGAGCTCTTTGTGAGCATTTTTAAGGCGTCCTTATATGAGTAAGATGTATGCATTAAATATACGTACTCACACAATAACCCCAAGGCTTTAGCTAATGGGAAGGATTTATAAATTTACATTAAGAAATATAAGGTGAAGATTTTAAAAAAGAATGTTAATGCATTTACGCGCTTCTTATTTTCTTATCTTTTATAGAAGCAATCGTATTGCATATGATTCTTTTAGCAGTGCATAAACTATAGGAAGATTTCCGTGTTCACTTTTTCATTTTGTACCAAATTTATTTATATTATTCTTAGTGCCGGGATAGGGCGAACAGGTACTTTTATAGCGTTGGACGCTTTGTATCAGCACGGTCTGGAAACAGGGACCGTCAATATACAGAAATATGTCAAAATGATGAGGAAGGACAGGATGAGTATGATACAGAATTGTGTGAGTATCTAATCAAAAGGACTAATTATTGAATTTTATTCATTTTTCAGTTTACAAAAGCTATTATTCTAATATGCTGGATAAGAAAAGATGGTGTGATTACTTTTTTTCTTTGATTGACTATAGAAGATATACTAGAACTTGTGTCAACTACTGTTAGATTTGTTTTAGTCTGGTTTAATTTGATAAAATTTGTCAGAGGTTTTTAATTAATTTACAGAGCATATATTCTTGGTATATAACTTATGTATGATCATTGAAATTATTCCGTAAATAATGCTTTTAATGAGCAAATATATAGTTAATAATATGGTTATATAAAGATGAGTCAAGTTAAGTTTCCTGTTAAGATGGGATTCTTGTCTGGTTTCTGACTAGATGAAATATTCAAAGTACATTTGCTTATATGTTTTATATATTTAGATGTAAGAGATTTAAAAGATGATATTTTTCTTTCCTCATCACAATTGTATAACTTTAAATAGAAATGGTAAACTGAGTTTGAAATCTAGCAGGGACTATATTTTTGGCGGAATGGCGGCGTATGAAAATATCTTCTTTTCTGCCTCTCAAAATAATTATAGAAGAATGAATTTAGTTATAATTTTTACACAATCAAAGACTTGGAGAAAATTTTTAAATGTAAGTTAAATTAATAATAAGGGACTAAAGTTTTGAAATATATCAAATAAATATGATTTTCCAAACAAACTAAATTATGTTAGCTTTTAAAAGCTTCAAATCTAAGTTCAGATTTGAGCCAAAAATCCATAAAAAGTGTTTTTTCTCTCTTAGTAAACAGTCAAAACTTTTTGTTTTTATGTCATTTTGTATATACATATGTGTATATATATATATGTGACAACTTTACCATTTGTGAAAATAAGAAAAATTTAAATATAGGAAGCATATAAAAACAACTAAAATATCTTAAATTTATTAAGAAAAATAGAGAAAATTCGGATTAGCCAATATCCATTTTAGTTAAATTATTTATGTTAATTTGGTAATATCATCTTATAGATCCTATATGGTCATATCTCTTTATGCAAAAAGAAAAACATTTAATTTATTGAAATAGAAGTAGGCATCACATGATTGGCAACAGCAATTTTTTATTCTTACTGTCCACGGAAAAGGTACTGACCTTGACCTGACCTTGCCTCTAATATAAAACGGTCAAATTAAATCTAACTGATACCATCACTTAGTGATATTGTCTTCTTGATTCTGTGAAAATTTCATTGATTTTTGAATATTAGAAATAAGTGTTCTTATGAGAAGAATCCCTCCTTAATGATATATTATTTGTATCTTTCATTTTATTTAATTTTTGTATTTTATCTTCTTTTCATTTAATATTATTATTTTTTTTTATTTTTAGGAGCAATACATTGAACTGTACAATGCTCTCCTGGAATCCTTCAAAGGTGGAAGTTATGTTATATCCAAGGACAGTCTTATGAATGATGTTAGAGAATTAAGTAAATCAGACGGGTCTGTTCTTACCAGGATACAGTCAGAATTTGAGGTAGACCATTAAAATACATTGTTTCCATTTAAAATCAAGTAAGTGTGTTTCTCGCGATCGATGTTACATGGAGATTTAAGAGATTAAGTACTTTGTATAAAACGAGCTGACTTTTTTATCTGGCAAGATTTAAGACCGAGTTCCTGTTTGATAATGAATGAAACCTAAACTGCAAATTCATCTAAAATCCATTTCACTGTCAAAAGTATATAATTATAACCTTTCATTGATGTACGCTAATCTCTCTCTAATTTTTTTTGTTTGAATGAAATTACTTTATTTATTAATCAGATACATTTTAAGATAATGAAATTTAATGTTTATATGTTAATAAATAAGTGTTAAAGATTTTAATAACCTATCCAAGTATTAAAAAGTTTAATTTCCATTTACAATGTGCTTTTTTCATATTGTATATGTATACAAGATAATGTTTCTCTCTGATTTTAGAAGCTGCAGTCAATTAAAAAATTCTACAGTGTTGATGATAAGAAAGAGGGATCAAAATACAAAGAGCTCAACATGACAAGGAATATATTACCAGGTAGTTCTGCTGAAAGCAGGTTTCTTGTAGTTTACCTTTGTAAGACAAATACAGCAACCGCATTTATTATACTCCCCGCTTTTAAGAGATACTTTATAGTGATGGGGATATCCGTCTTTGACCCTCCGTACGTCAGTCAAACTTTGGGGTACAATCTCTTATCCGCAACTCCTCCCATACTACTGCATAAAATTTGAACAGACTCTCATAAAATCTTTATTACATAGTGCCATTGTGCACCTTTTATTGTATTTTTCAATCGGAAACTGAGATATTTAGGGTTTCCCATAGCAAAACCTGGACACTGCCATTATTTCAATGATATTTGCATTACCCATCTCTTTTCTGCCACGCCCCCTGTACCACTGAAAAAGATTTAATAAAACTTTCACAGATTTTTTTTTTTTTTTACAGAGTGCCATTGTGCACCTCCTATTTAATGTTTTGATCGGACATATATTTATGGCTTCCTTAATAAAACATTGACTCTATACTCATATGGAAGCGGGGAGTATCATTTTGTGAGCTCAGTGCTCACAGCATCTCTAGTTAATATAAATGTGACCTTTTTTTATTCGAGAAAATTTTCCCCAGACGTGTGTTACCCTCTCACAAATGGCTCTTATACAAATTTATTGTAGATGTCCAGTTTGAAACATCATACACAATTTGTCATTTATTTATAATTATCTTTATATAAAGTGATTTAGAATCAAATCTGATCTAATTTCATAATGTCTCTCTTTAGTCTTTTGCTATAATGAACTAAATTTTCATCTAGACGAACGATAATTTTTACACGCATCATACTTACATATTTATCTTGTCTTGATTTCAGTGGATAAATATCGGGCAATACTTATGTCAAATGTATTGGGAAGGGGTAATTATTACAATGCAGTGTTCTTGTCAGTAAGTGTATCAAAATATATCTATATCAAATTCTATAAAATATTTATCTATTAATTGCCTTTATTTATTTATATCATATGATGCTTAACCCAATCAAAAATATCTTGTGGATTCTTCTTTTTTTTTTCGTTGAATTTTTTCTTTATTGTATTCATTATCTATGCCTCTTGTTTTTGTTAATAATGCAAGATTATTGGCAGTTATTTTTTTTATTTTCAAATCTTTTATAACAGACATTCACAGATAGGGATATGCTTATTGCCGGCCAGTACCCCCTGTCTGGTAATTCTGTAGACCTGATCCGTCTTTTACTCGATCATGAATCCAGCATCGTGGTATTTGTAAATCGTCTTTCAGATGTTCCATCGGTAAGATTTGTATACATGTAAATAAATTTTAAATTTACTTAAAAGATATTTTGGACAATGAACTTTCGTGATGCTATAATTCCTTTTGCTTAAGGGAGAACATATGTTTAATTCTACTCATTTAATTATATCGGTAGACTCATCAAGTAAAATATTTCAAAAGACAAGCAGGGACTAGGCATATGTTTATCACTGAACATCAAGATTAATCTGTTTACAAGGTTTATATACTTGTATCTTTGCACTTTGTACCTACTTTCATGGCCTTTTTTCCAACTTGCTTTTTTTTCTTGGGGTCAGGACTTGATTAATTTAAATCAAGTTTGAATTCAATAAAGTAATGTAGATCACCAAATTTTCACGATACCCTATTTTCGCGAGATAGATATTTGGTATTTATAATCAAGGCAACATTTTTATTTAATCTGGTTATTGCTATGATATCATATGCTATGCTAAAGAAAATATACGCAAGAATGAATTTTTTGCGAACAGGCCGTCTCGGGCAATTACGCGAAAATAAAGTTCCTGCGAATAAAAATGATTTTCAGTACTTAGCGGTGTCAGATCACAAGATGTATGCTCTTCATAGAGTATGTAATCAGTTACGTCACATCATTTAATTAATGTTTTGTGATCAATTATATTCATCATTCAATTTTTTGTTCTATATTTTTAATAAGCGTAAAATTATATCAAATTCCTAATTTTATTTTTTTGGAAACTAAGTATTGCATATTTAGAAATATCTGCATCAAAAATTAATTACATGTAACAGATGTGGCAAAGAGCAATATATGTGATTGTGATGTTTATGTTATTAAGAAAAAGAAGTATAGCTAATGTAATTTTCCGTAGTGTTACAATATTGCTATGAGGGCAGATAAAAGAAATTATAAGGACAAAGATAAATTCCATAAAAGGATGAAATGAGTTGAACTCACATAATCAATTGGACATAATCTGAAATTCAACTCTTTGGAGTTCAAATTATATGTAGGTATTTTGTACTGGTAGACATATTATGAAATTTTTGACACTGCCTTTGGTTTCTTTTCCTAACTAACAAAAAAATCTTTCAACAGTCAAGTGAATGGTTCTCGGAGAAGACAACAACATTACATCCATACGAAATAATTAAAAAAGACACGTCCAATGTTACCCAGACCATAAGAATACATGATCTTAAGATTCGTCATTTAGAAGTAAGCTGCTCAATTGGATATTTAAGATAATTTTGAATTGAACGATTCGTTGTATATCTTCTCAAGGAAAAGCTTGTATTGAAATTTTTTTTCATGTTTTCTCACATGTAATAAAATTCATTTCTCTTGTCAGGAAGACACCTGGCATGCAATTCATCTCTTTGAAATAATGTCCTGGAGAATTATAGACGCTTTGCCATCTGACGTCAACACTCTATCTGACGTCGTAAGACATATTCAGATGGATGTTGCAAGTCAGTCTACCAAAACACCCATCACTATTTTGTCCAAGTAAGCGGCCCGTTTTTCTCTTTAATTGAACATACGCTGTATATTAAGTCGCTTAAAGCAATAAAAGTAATATCTATATACATGTAAGAGAGAGAGATACCTTAAAAAATTAACATTTATGTGAACGTAAAAGATTTCCTATCAAGCGTTTAACACTAGATTTATTTGGTTAGCAAGCTGGGTGTAAATTTTGTGCACCCGCCTTGATTTGGAGGTAAAAGAATAGTTTCTCGATCACAAAAATCAAATAACATGAATCATGATACATTGTAGCAGGTAGTAAAACTTATCGATGGTTTGAAGCACCATTGATAAGACTTCGGTTTATTTATTTTTGTCACCTTAATTTGCCTTATTCCATACTCAAAAGTATGTCTGCGTACAATCAATTTTTAAACCGAGGCAGCTGGTTACATGTACTACAGATAATTTGGTGTTATAGGGCTTTCAACAACCGCGTTCAAAGTCAGCCTTTCGTAAATTCTATGGTCGCTATAATGACCTTGTTAATAAATCTAATTTATGTTTGGGTCCTATTTTGACAGTTTCATTTCATACTAATTGTCAGGCATATCCTTTATACTTAATTCGACGACGGAATATTCTGCCTACCTGATCAATACAGAGGGAGCACGATGGGTGTGACCGGTTGACAGGGGATGCTTCCTCATTGGCACCTGATCCACCCTCTGGAATTTCCGGAGGTCCATGTTTTATGCCCTGTTCACAGATTTGTATTTTTTGTAGGCTGTTTTGAGATCGACTACTACCACTGCTCGTTATTTTCACCTTTTCATTTGGTTACATAGGAAATAGTTTCGTTATCCAGGTCCAATCAAAGGTGAAGGGGAATTTACCCCGGGTTGTATTTCATACACGTGTGGAATACAACCCCGGGATAAATTCCCGTACACCCTTGATTGAACCTGGAAAACTAATAATTACAATGTATACATAGTAAACACACATAGATAGGACGACTTGTTTAAACCATTTTAACCAGTTTAGATGTGCTTAAATAGTTTTATGAAATAACATGATTTACATGTCAAAAACAACTCCATATATATAAGAAAAGTTTTGTTTTTCTTTAAAACAACTAGGTAAAAACTGTCACAATTCATCTGTACAAAGGGGATTTTTGGATTATTTTAGCTGTTTTATAACAGCAGAATAGCATACTTAAAATATCATACATATCAAAAATTCTTAATAAATTTGCTTTTCTTTTTAAGTCATTGGAATGTTATTGTGCTCAGAAACTTGAATTTCTGGAATTTATTGAAAATCCTGTCATTATCACAATTATGCTGACCTGGAATAAAGTCTTAAATAAAAATTATATATAATGCTTTGGAAAACTTATGATACACGTTATTTTTTCTTTCTAAAAGACCTCGTTTCTAACAATACCTGCTTGTGATTTAGTTTTGTCGGAGATTGAAATTCTTCTGCTTATAGTTTTATATATATATTCCTTATTGTATTTTAAAATAAAGTTTTGCTTAATCATAACAGAGATGGTGCAACTGGTTGCGGAGTGTTGTGTGGTGTTTATAACGCGGTGCAACAACTTCAACAAGATGATGAGGTTGATATGTTTTCAATTGTCAGGCAGCTACAGATACGGCGACCGGAAATGATTTCTACATTAGTAAGTTCTGATATCAAATTTTTTGTGACATAGAATATTTTGAAAAGAATGCAATGAAAACATTGGAAATGATGTGTCTAAGCTTAGAAAATTCAAAACCAAATCGCTTTCTGATCGATTGTGTTCGTCGTCCTTCAGAACATGTATGCTCTCTAATAGGCAATAGTGTGCTTAAGGGCAAAGACTGTGCAGAAGGGCCACTCTCTTAGGAATATAAGCAGAAAATAGGAAGCATTTGGTATTCTTATCTAATCTTCTGAAGACACACTCTGTCAAATAAAGCAAAATTGCTTAAAAGGCCTTTTTATGTTGAATGCCTTTGGATTATTCAGGATTACTCAAATCATGGCTCGACGAATGAGGATGAAAACATAAGAGAGGTTCACGACCGTCTTCTTCAAAATAAGGCATCCACAATCAACAAGATTGACTTTGTTTCTATCATACTTTGGTCAAAATTTTATATTTTCGAGAAAAATATGTAACTTAATGTCTCAATCACTCATTTCACATTATTTTCGTATTTTAATTGTATAAAACTACAATTTCACTTTCCTTTTATTTTAGGAGGAATACCAGTTTTGCTTCAGAGCTGCTTCAAATATATTGTCAGAGAATTCTTCAGACGTTTACAGCAACGCAGAAAGTGTATATGCAAATACATAGGTTTACCACTCATTTCAAAACTTGTGGTACATACTTTTGGGTAAAGAAAAGGAATGAATGTTTCATTTTTCAATTTTGTCTTTTAAATAAACATTAATTTGTGTTAAAGTTCATCATATCTCTCTGTTGAATGATATAAAATATTACTTTTACAGTAATCACATTCCAAGAGAAATCTACTTTGCAGTTTCTAACAAAAATGCACAACAGTTCAGCATATCCTGAGAGACATAATTTGTCAGAAATGGCCTTTTCTACTTGAAAGTCTTTCAGGGGAGTTACAGTAGTTATTTATCTCAGTAAGAGGTATCTGTCTTATAAACCCTGGGAACTATTCTTCGTTAAGAGTAGGAAGTTTTTTTGTGTCTGTGTGTTTTTAAACATACTATCTTAAATGATACTCAGGTAGAGAAGAGAACATAATAAAGTCTTCTTTCATGAAGAAAGTGGACGGTATTCAAAGATCAATGTTATGTGTATGACATAAAAATCTACAAAAGGACAATTACTAGGGTAGTCCCAGAAATACGAGAACATTTTCAGTATTTTTTGTTTCACTAATAGTATAAAGTTAGAAATTGGCATGCATTAAATCAATATTTTTAAATAATTCATAGAAATTTCAGTAAAATATCTCTATAAATAACATTTTTCTCTTTGGTAAACGAAAAACGAATCATGAAAAATAGCTGCCGGTGCAACACCGACGACGTCAAAACGTAGCTCGTGGAGTTTTTGAATCTGTTCACGAATCGTGCGTCTTTAAAAATTCGTTCGAAGCAAAAATTCGATACTGCATTTTTTTCTTTTAGTTACAGAGTTAACCATAATGATTTCACACGTACGACAGTTAAGAATAAATCAAGGAATAAATTCTTTTATAGACAATTTCCCAACCCCGATCATAAACCTAACTGCTCGAATAACGTCCAGCTCTACCTTTTCAGTTTTTCGTCATTTTTGTTGGACTACCAAACGCTTCTTCCATCGGATAACCAGTCCATTCATCTTTGAACCTTTTACTATGTATAAACCTGTGATCGGAACATGTATTTGTGTCGTTGCCTCGTTCCCAGCCCTTTTTCCGTATGAACAAGAGTCAAACCCCGCTCCACACCACACAGAGTGATAATTGGGTGCGCCGCATTATCGCTGGACGTCGCCGTTTTTGGCAATATCTAATTAATAGTGTTTGTGCATATAACGTCATATTTTTTGTTACTTATGATGTCAGAGTATTGATTTTTTACACACCAGTACGCTTGATCATAAAGCTTTTAAGGATATATATTTTGTTACACTATATTTCCGTATAGCCTGGTAATAACGAAAACATTGCTTTCAACGCTATTTTTTTAAGTCAAGAAATTGCCGCGCGTTGACCACCAATAATAAACACCCTTTAAATGTTGTTTATAAATGCAAATGGCATTGGGACTTTATATTACTCAGCCAAAATGACAAAAAAATATCATTTCCCAACATTATGCCAAAAGTGAAAAAAAAAATTGGTCAGGTAGTTTATGAAATATTTAAAAAGTTTGTGTTTTTCTGGGACAACCGCGTATATATCATTATTCAATTTAGAAGTAAAAAGGAAGCAATCTCAGTTTAAAACCCATTTTTTAATCTGTATTACTACATGTATGTTATCATTCATCAATCATTTTGTTTTCTACAATGAACGGATTTTAATTTTGTTGAATTTCTTTTATTAATAAACATTATCTCTCTAATTTACACTAAAATTTTGGTCATTTTTAATGAATTATTTTTTTACAGAGCGTAAGCTTGTTTAATAATGTTTAAATTAATATTTTTTCTCAGTTTGTCTGTCACGTTTTATTATTCATATAAATTGCATAAAATATTCAATGTAATTTATAGTTGTATTTTTTTTACTTCGAAAAAAAAATGAATTTTTTTTTTTGTTAAAATGATGTGTCAGATTTTTGTACATGTAAAAAGCATATGAATGCCTTGAAAACGTTTAGCATGTTATGTATTGAAATGATAGGTGTTTCTGTTTAATGGACTTCATATCTGATGAAACTAGAAATACGTTCATAGGACATGAATGCCCCGCCCAAGATTCATTAGTCATGTAACATGAAAATTTTTATTACTGTGTGAAGTTTGATAAAAATATTTTGAATAGGCTCTTTAATACTGAGTTTTATACACAATAAATGATAAAAGTCAAAGATTTTTGGAAAGGTCAACGTAAAAATTTGATTTTAAATTGAAGTATCATGAGTTCCATTTGATCAAATGGAAAAAAAATGTTTTTTACATATTATAATGTGTTTGCCTTGAATTTGTGAACAATGATATAATGAAGTGCGACATTACGTATTTTTGGAATTTTCCTTAAATTACCCATTTTCTGACAGTCCTGTTCCTCATTCTTCTGAACCTGTTACATCCAGTAAAATGACCAAAAAATCATTTTGAACTTTAGAATCTAATCACTACCACACTTCATAAAATATGAACAAGAGTCGAAAGGGAAATACAATTACATTTACAATTTTTGAGCTTGAATACTTTTCGTTATCCCCATATAATTTAATTTTGTTTGTATTCTAGCCTCTGATTGGTTAATATCCAAAAAGGAACACAAATTATTTCTGTATAACCTGGTTTGGTATGGGGACCCCCCCCCCCCGACAACCAGCTGAATCATCTGTATCCATACAATCCTCTCATTTCCAGTCCTCGGGATTCATGGAAAATTCCAGATTTAATAAATGTACCTTTAACTTCAAACAGTAATTCGATCTTACCACATGTAAACAAACAACAAGGCTGATAGGCCTATGTATCAGTTTTTACCTCCCCTCGCTTCCTATCACTTCCGTTACTATGGTTGTATTATTGAACGGCAAATTTGAACTAATAAAAAGCAACGAAATTTTACACCCATAGTTATTTAATGATTTTAAAATTAAATTATAAGGAATGACTCTAATTCTTGGCCAAATTATTCGAATATAACCTTGTTTGGGTCAGTTTACGCTGTTTTATAATCCGCTTCGCGGATTATAAAGCGTAAACTGACCCAAACCAGGTTATACTCGAATAATTTGGCCAAGAATTAGAGTCATTCCTAAAATACTAGTATTCCATTTGGATATATGAAAATTGTACATTTCATTACAGACATAAGATGATTTAAAAATAAATAACAAAGTTAAAAGTTAACTTTGGTCTTAATTGTATTAGTCACAGAATGTTAAAATCTGTTAAAATTTGTTGAAGAAACAATTACGAGCCATTTTGTTTGTTATTTAATAGATCTATTCAAACAAAATTTATCATGAAAGATGGAAACTAGCACATGTCCTTTCTTTATTTAGAAAGGACAACTCTTCAGTTACTTCAGATTATAGACCTATTTATTTTTGAGTTGTGTGAGAAAAATATTTGAGAGAGTTAATTTTAAACATTATATAATCTTTTTCGCATAAATAATTTGTTTTCTTCCTGGTCACTTAACTGTGCACTAATTCCTAGAAACTTATACTATTGTGAAAAGTATTGATGAAGGGAAATATTTTTTTGCGATTTTTTTGAATATCACTTGAAACCTTAAGCTGGTTACTGCATATCTATTAAAAATGACGTAATTTTCTTGGTAGTCAATGCATTATGGCGTCATAAATTGCGTCATTTTACCCATATCCTGAATATTTCTTCAAAAATGACCAAAAGATATGGTTGTTTTTCAATATTTCGTATACAGCACAACCTGTAATCCAAAATGTATAATCTTTATAATGAAAGGACTGCGTCTGAAGACTGTAAAACATATTTTATTTTTGGATTGAGGGGTGTGCTCATATTTTAATTCAAAGCAGAAGGTACTAAAATACAGCTTTTTCTGTAAAAATCAAGAACATTGCAATTTCACACAGCCCGTTTTCCAATACTTGGACTCTTAGAGAAAACTTTTTTTTTTTATAGAAAATGAAAGCACCCAGTCTCTACTTTATATTGATGTTGAAAATGGGACATAAGATTTTGGTCAGTAAATTTGAATATCTATAGTTCGATTTTATGTATAAAGTAAACCTAGCTCTTTCAGATACTTTTCAGTTTGGCAAACATAGAGCACAAGTTAACTATCTTTGATTTTTAGGCACAAGATATATCTGATACATATGTACTAGTGTATGAAATATATGAAATTGTAGATAGGCAAGCTTGTGCTATATGTTTTCTGAAACAAAATGCGGTCTAAAATTGATAATAAACAAAATAAAACTGAGAAAATTCGGAAATTGATGCATTTGTGACCTTCATGTGACTCTGTGTATCATATAATTTAGAATCAATTCTTATTTTACAACAGAAATAACACGAGGTTTTTTTATCATGAAATATTGCACCGTTCTAAGTGACACCCAAATCCCAGGACCAAAAAGGGGTATTACCCTACCATGTCCTTTTTGTAAACTTATCTTAACACTAAACCTGAATAATTTGAATAAAAAAAATTAAATACTTCATGATGAATACAAATACAGCTGCAAAAAAGGGTCACCGAGCACGTCAGAATTTAGTGATATACTACCAATACACTATATGATGTATATTGTCTTTGTGAAATCGCGCTAAAGATGAATGGGAATTATATATTGCTACGTCGGGCAGACATCAATTGCAGAGATAAGGAAGACCTCATTGAAAAGGCAAAAAAGGTGACTTGCAGGACGTCACGGGGCAGCGAGTGGCAATCACAATTTTGTGTTGCACTGGGGAAACTCCAACATTAACTCTGAAAATTCTTGAGGAGGCAGAAATATATCACAGGTGAGTCGTGCTTCTGTGTTTAGATAGTAAAGGCAGTTTTTGATTGGAAGATACCCTGTATTAGACAATAGTCTGAGAGGATTATTAGTAAAAATATAGTCTTTTTTTCAAAACTTATGAAAGAAATGTGTTGAAAGCACTACATGTAACTAACTAATGCTTCTTGAACAATTATTGGCATAATAAGTGTCAAGTAGTATAGAAACGTTTTTAATAATTGGTTTTTGTGCCAAAGACCGAGTGTGAAATTTAGAGGAGTAAAATAAAAAAAAACCGTCATAACATAATTTATGTTTTTGACGTAACAATGCTGCAATACTTCTGTGGTGACAAAACTTGTTGATTTTTAATTGAAGTATCGTGAGTTCCATTTGATCATATAACATATGATAATGTGTTGGACTTAAATTTGCAAAAAATGATATGACTGCCGTCATGAGAAAAGGGCCCTTATCTTTTGACGTCACAATGCTCAGAAAACGACGTCAAAGTCGCGGTATTGTAAACACGGAAGTAGGGTGAATTCACCATGCATCGGACACCCTCGAACTTCAACAAGTTCTAGCGATATCGCTACCGACCGAATATTATCAAAATGGAACTTAACGTGTAGTATGTGGTTAAAATATAAATTTTTGACACAATCGTGCCCTATTTATTGAGAAAATACCATTAAAAACCGATTTTTTCGAAATAAGTCAGAATTCACCATGGATCGGACAATATTCACCATGCATCGGACATACGATATTTAAACCAGAAAAATATCATACCTTGATCTCGGTGCTTTCAAATTAGTGATATCGAAACATTTTAATCTTTTATTTAAAAATTAAACTTCTTATTAGATTTGAATGACTATTTCGATCCACAAATGTGAAGAGATTTTAGTTGCATCACATCGCCTTAAAAAGGCTTTACAATGCTAGTAATATGGCAACTCGCGCCTTTGTCGCGTGGGTTATCATCATCGAGTTTAAAGAAATAAATTGAGTCCACTTCTAGTCGTCATATATCGATAATTTGTATTTTCACTGAAAATTTAGAGTTTCTATTTTCTATTTCCATAAAAAACAGCTGTCATTTGGGTTTCATATGAAAATGGAAGTGATTACCCATGCATCGGAAAGTGTCCGATGCATGGTTAATTTGTGTCCTATGTACGGTGAAATAAACATACTAGTTAAAAAAAACTCTAAAAAATATTATACAAACATTGAAGTAAAATTTTTGAAAAATTTCTGTAAAATTATCAATCATTGATAAATTTTACCTAGGTCCGACCCGTTCCGTTGACGTCTATTTAAAAGAAGGACAACTCTAAAAATTGCAAAATCGTAAAATTCTGGTTACTCCCCTTTGATGATGCAAAATATGACGTAATTTCAAGGCCATTCTTGTGGTATTTTTATCACAACACGAAAATAAAAATCGGCATCATTAAAAAGTTTAAATCTTCACCTTTAAGACAGAAACAAGTAAAAACACGGGGAGACTCGGATTCAATGAAAGTTTATAGCTTAAAGTTGTCCGAAGCAAGGTATGTGTCCGATGCATGGTTAACTCACCCTAAATTTTGTTGACTGCGTTTTTGTAGAAATACACGTGTAGAAAGAAGGAAATAAAACTGGATTTCCTGGTGTGAAAAAAATAAAATCATACGAATTTCGAAGCGGAAAATTTTAATAAATAACATTTTTACCATTTAGTACATGTATTTATTCAGGTTTCTGTGTAAATATTCTGTATAACATAATCCAAACGTTATGTTGAACGCAATATCAGATACTAGTATCTAGCGATTAAAAGCGACGTCTATATATGATGCAAGGCTACAGATATATACTAGTATATATATATTTTTTCTTTTTTTGACTGAGCTATTTGAAATGCTTATATTCGACTTATACATTGATGTATTAATTAGTCTT